CCCCCACCCCCAAGCCTTAAAATAAAATAAAAATCCTTACTGGGTCACCATGAGCCTGCTGTGGCAGCTTTCCTGGTGTGTAAAAATGATGCACCAGAAGGTGTGCCAGGCCTAGAAGTGGGGGTTGCAGGCTTGGGAAAGGGGTGAGTACCCTCTTCACTTCTCCAGGCTCATGGGGCCTGAAGAAATGACTCCGTCCCTTGAGTCTGTCCCCACAGTCCCCATACCTCATTAGAACTGGGCCTTTCAGGGAGTCCTGGGTCTAATAGGGTATCCTGCTTTGTTGTGAATGAATCCTCTTTTACCTGAGGTGCTGTTTGGACTCCTCAGGTAAAAGTCTGACAGGGCCTGCATTTTGGGCCCTGTCTGGAAGGGCCCAAAGAGCAAACAGAACTGCTCTACCCCTTCCAGGCCTCTCTCTAATTCCAAAATAAAAACAGCAATCAACCTGCTGAGAATTGAGAAAGTGGTGCAGTGAAGGTCTGCAGCCCATGATAGGCAAAGAGGTGGTCTAGCTACTTTAAATAAATTCAAATCACCAGAGTTCATTACTGTATGAACAGCCTCTAAGAATACTAATACTAGACCTTAACTTGAGGAAAATAGTGAAAAATTCTCTCCATTTTAAAAACAACAAAAATTCACAGAAAGAATAACATCCAAGCTAAAGATCAACACACATATGCATGCTAGATCAAAACATGAGTAGATTGATATCTGCTTATTGTATCTTGATTTCTACCCTAGGAACACAAGCTCCTGTCTTTAACCTTAATGAGAAAAAGTTTATGTTTAAAGCAAAGAGAAGGTTGTGGGGATCTAATCCCATTTCCCACAAAAGAACCAGAGACGACAAATCTTCCACATCTTCCACACATCTTTTAAAATTAGGTACTGACTTCTATGAATTCCAGGCATGGCTGAAAATGGATTTGTTTTGAAGGGTGAGGGAGAGAAACCTCAAAATATGGTACAGATAAATTAAAGAAATTCACTTATATCGAGAGTCACCATTCTTCCTTTGATATAAAAACAGTTCCAAATGTTCTTTAAACATCACATCATTTTTACATTGCTTTTACATTTTACATTGAAAGTGTTAGTAAATCTGCTGTGCTTTATAAAGGATGCAGTCACCCATTTTAAAAACAAGAAAGGCAAAGATTTCTTACTTTATTTACTGTTTTCCAAGTAGAGGTCAATCAGGTAGAGTACATGCCTCATAAACCACTTCTCATGATTACACACTGAATATATTTATTATTAAATGCTTGAGAGATTCACTGGCTAGATTTACTGGTGTACATTTAATTTAACCAAGCAGCTACTGTAACACTTCTTTATAATGAACTGAGGGAGTAGGGCCACACTCTAATAAATCTGACTCCACATGTCAGATTGTCAGTAAACTAAAATCTCTTTTTCCTCCACTGTCTGGTAGATGTTAATGTTTGCAACTGGAGGGGGATTGTGTGCTATGACTTATTTTCTGGCATGAAGTTCACATTAAAGTGCCAACAGCCACACAGAGATTTGAACTTGGACCTTCAGTTCCAAATCTCACAAGCTGCTCACAGCTTGCTTTCAATTTATTCTTCTTTGATGCTCCCATTTTCTAGCTGAGAAGGTCTTATTGAGCAGGCTGATTAGGTCCCCATGTTTCTTATTTAGCTCTGATTCTGTGTGGTGGAAACAAGAAGGAAGCAAACTATATGTAGGATGTTTGAGAGCTTGCATTTGAAGACAGAACAAGGACTTTCATGGCCAAAAGACTATATATAAAAATGTAGTTTCTAGATATACGAACAATAGAGGTGTGAAGACTGTGAATGATTTCTGGATCATATGGTTGGACTAATAGAATCGAACAGAGGTATATTTACGTTATTTGTACATATTTTGGAAATGCTTATTCGAAATGAAATTGAGCTGATCTCCATAATCTGGAATGAGAAGAGGGTTGTTCTCTAGGTACTCTTGGTGTAGAGCTACACTAATCGACATATATTGGATTGGCACCAGGATGGGTCAGATAGGCACACTTCCAGCCTCTGCAGAAGTGGGAGGGAGTCTTGATCACTGAGAAGTGCTAAACATGATTTGTTTTAATTGGGCAGCCACCCTTATTACCTCCCCCCATCCTCCATATTGGAGCAGTCTCTGAGTGTGACATTGATTCTATCTGTCAGCCATCTCCTGTAGAATCCCTCCCCCCCTTCCTTTCCTTCCCTAATTGCCCCAGCCAATGTCACTACAGGCAAAGACCGACAGGTAGGGTCCATGATATGGCTGGAGAGTGCCATGACACAGACAAGAAAGGATAATAACTGTCATCTTGCATCCCCAGATCATCCAAGCCCAGGGAACATGGAAAGGCAGTGAGGACAGTTGTGGCCAATTCTGTTCCAGTTAACACTGGGTAATGTCATGGCTTTGCCCATGTTACCTCAGATCAGCTCCTTGAAATGTTTTACCTCCATGGAGCTGATCTGGAGCCCATCCAACCTAAGTGGTCAGTGCAGATGCACCCTTGGACTGCAGTTTGCATTAATTGACTATTCTCAATTGACTATTCTGGCTAGGACCGATGGGAGATGCAGTCCAACAACTTCTGTAGTGCCATATGTTTCTTGGTCTAAATGCCTTGAAATGCATTTGGAAGTATGGAAGAACCTGTGACATTAAAAAGAAGGCGCAAATGCCATTAAAAGGAATTGCAAATACCATTAAATGAATCAAAATTTCTGAAGGGTTCAATCATGTTGTTACACATCTCCAGTCTAGCTCAGTGGAGCTTGCTCAGAAGATCATCCCATTCAATTGTATCATGAATTTGGAAAGTTTGTAGAATTTCCTATTACATATGCTATTGCCCAAATAAATTCTGTGTGCCTATAGGAAGAAAGTGGAAACACATTTTATTGTTTATTTCATGACTGGCACTTACAGTCTTTCCCCAGAAGATTGACATGCTTTAATGTTTGTAAAAAAGCTCTTAATATCCCTGGAGGTGAACAATTCTACCTGTCTTGGTCTTAGAATATCCAGAAGGAAAATAACACAGAGAGTCAATGTGAAAGAGTAAGATAAATTCCCTGAATTATCTAGTGCTACGATCTGATTTATAAGCTGAATAGCACTGAAGGGAGTGTTTAAGTTGATGTTAATGGGAACAGGCTCTAGCCTTTAAAGTTCTGTCTTTTTTGATCCACTCTTGAATGAATCCTTCACTCATCTGCATTGCAAGCAGTGGAAAGGCAGAGTAGGAAAAAAGGGCTCAATCATTTCCTTGTTATTTGCTGTTTGTAAATGAAAATCATGGTTAATTTAGGAGCCTGGCAGCTGTAGAACATTTGCCATTCCACCACAGCTGTCAGAGGCACTCTGGTTTGTTTTACAAACAGATGTTTAATTTGACTTCAGTGTGGTTGTCAAGGTTTTTTCTTTTCCCTTTATGTGAAGGGAAATGATGAGAGGAAGGAGAAAGTGAAATAAACGGAAGACTCATTGGTTTGTGACTTTCCGAAGCATAAATCTGGATAATTAATGGTGACATCAGAAATGTTTGAGACAGTTTTGGCTGCAGGATGCTTTATTCCAATAGTTTAAAAGCCACAAACAACAATTGGATACCTGTTAAAATATATGTTTACAAAATGCTTTTTGATTTCTCAGAAGGGCAATGTACAGAAAAAATCTGAACTTTTAAAACTACAAAACCAGTTCTAAAACATTATCAGTGATATTTTTATGTTGAACAGAGGGATCAATATTACTTATGGATCTTGAAACACTGATGACTGTATAACCATGGCCGCAAGCTCTTGCCATCATTTGATTACTGTGCTAATAGCTTATTATTGCTAATATAAGCATTTTTGTGTGCAGCAGTTTGCAGTTGCTGTACCATTACAATTGGTGGAGTTTGTCTGGGACAAAAAGGAGAAATTTTCAAGGGTTCTGTATATAGAAATCATTTGCACAACTTTGTAAGATCCCTGATATTTAGGGCTAGGCAATGTGAACAATGGACAATGAATTTAATCCATGGAAAGTCATGTTCAGTGCAGCATTGAGTAGCAAAAGATTGAGTGGAACTGCATTGAGTTGTAAATATTCATCTGTATGATGGAAAACCAGTTACACTAAACACTTTTCCGTCTGTACCAGAGAACAATATGGCATCCACTCCAATTCTATGCATGAATGCCAGCTGGATTGACTGCTGAATATTCCTTCAACACACCAACAGGAGAGTGTGGTCCACTATACCTGAAGGCATGTAACTAACAAAGGACCTTCCATGCTACACACAGCTCTCTCTTTTACCATCATAGTGCTACCTATTGTCTGATATTACCTTTGCCTATTGATAGAACTGTCCCTGGGAAATGTTAAAAGTATTCCTTGAGATTACTGCCTTTCCTCTACTCTAGATTACAGCCATTGCCATCAACACTTGTCTAAGCCTCACCCTTGGGTTGATTGGACTTGGCAGATAGATATGATTTCAGGGATCTGCAAAGAGACTCAGAATAATACTCATTTTCAACAAGAGGTAATTCCTGTAATTCCTATTTTTGTATAAAGAGAGATCTAAAAAGGAAAGCCAGCAATATGACTTAGGCCATTTGGAGAGTCTGTAATCACACTGGAACATCCTGGGTCTCTACATTTCAAATATCTTGATCGTGGTTTTAATAACCATATGTTTGGTTACCTAGGATTTTGTGTTTAGTAAGCCACTCTTTAATTAGGAAGAAGTCAATGAAGACCTGCCATTCATGAATAAAATAGTAGAAGTTTACTAGATAAATTAATAATGAAAAGAAAAAAGTCATATATGAAATTCAAAGGAGAGTTTGGTTGACACTCCAATCTCCCTGTGAATAGCAGTTACATTCTTACACTCATCTCTGTTTACAAAGTTCAGTGTATTAAATTGCCCAAAGTAATCAAACCTGCACTAAGAACCCAAAAAATGCAAAGTCATAACTTACCAATAATGATATGTTACTCAAAAGCAGTCAATTCTGACACAATTTGAAAAATAGGGATTTTGTTGAGTATGGGCTTCAGCTCTGTGACAAAAAACGAAACTGCTTGTATATGCATCACAGATACAGCTCAGTACATTACAGAAAAGGGAATTAAGCAATTGCTACTGTCTGACCTATTTTTCCTCTGTTAAAGGTTAACCACATATTTATTGATCAGCAGAGTTCATTTCGGTTTCAAACCAAAGCAGATCAATAGACTTGGGAGCTGAAGACTGATCTCAATGAACTAACAGCCTTGCCTTGGATTCTGTATGAAGAGAAAGGCGGGACATAGAATAAATAAATAAATCTCATGATGCTTCAGAACAGAGGGCTTCTTAGATGGCCATAAAGTTGTATAGGTTTTGCAGTCTTCCAAAGTTTAGAATAAAAAAAAACAAAAAGAAAAAGAAAATGATAAAAGTGATTACCTTTTTTAAAGAAAGTAGAGCACTACTTATTTCTAGAGTTATTTACTGGTATTACTAATGTGTTGATTTTTAATTATTTTTATTTACAGTAGACCAGCATAATATGTGAGGGATATGTTTTAGGATGCTTTGCATAATATTATTTTCATGTAATATCACTTAGACCTGTCCTAGAACAGAAGAACAGGGCTAATCATCTTTTGCCTGGTAGCTCTCATTAATATGTATTACATTAATTAGTATGTAAAAATACCTAGTTAGCATGGGAGAAGGCCAACTGATGTGAATCTGGTATTTTTATGCACTTCATGTTTAACACAGGAACTTTCAAATACTTGCCTTATGTTATGTTCCTTGAGACAATGATTCTGAAACAGAAAATAGTTATGTACAAATGGGAGAGGGAACACCACATTTCTTGACGTGCAGTTAATCAAATAATGTTAACTATCTGTAAAAGGAAGTGTCGTTATTTATTTACTATCTACAGATTGCCTTTGAGCAGTCATATATCTACACCAGCTAATCCACACAACAAAAACAAATGTCAGATATTGGGTTCCATAATTCAACAGCCCTGTCTCTGCTCAGAAAACGCAATACAATCATCATTCAAACTCATCATTCAGACTTAAACTCTCAAATCCTTGTGGATCTGGCAGGTACATGGCCCTGACTTGGCGGTGGGGGGAGCTAACACGGCTATAGCTAGGAGGTCTGGGGGAGGGGTAGTGTGAAGTGTTGGCCAGCAGATATTATATGTAAATTATTCTCACCCACTCACCACAAAAGCAGAAAACATGTCAATACCATATTTCATCGCATAAGGCCTTAAAATAGACAAAACTTTCCTGGCCATCATTAAGGTCCTGCTGGAATCCTCCTGACATGTAGACATTTCTATGCACTAAAAGGAAGGGTTTTCTGGGTTCATGGAGTGCAAAAAAACTGAGAGGGCTGTGTTGATTGGGTCCAGGGATTGTGTGACATGGTCCCTGGACCCAATCCACACTGGGTCCACACCTGGAAGGACCTGGACCTTATCAAAGATCTGTGTCTTACCAGGTAACAAATTCATTCAGGACAAAGCAGGGTTTTACTGCTTCGTCTTGAATTAATTCAATTTTACTGAAGGCATTATTTGGATACCTCTGGTAAAAGTGTGTAAAAGTTTGCCTGTTTTGGACCCTGTCTGGATGGGCCCTATGACATCTACACCTGATTTTTTTTCACTTTGCTGTAATTGATGATGATGTTTCCACACAGTTATTCTTTGCTTGACATCAATTGGGCTGGTTTTCAAGAAATTGGGCTGGTTCACAGAAATGGAAGCCAGGCGACAAGCAGGGGGAAGATGGACAAAGCAAGCAGATGAATTAAAACAGAAAGATCTAAATAAGATCTTCAAGTCTAAATAAATGTCTACTTAAATATTAAAGACATCATTAAATACTAAATCTTCCAGGGCATTTATTTCCAATTTGATATGTTTCTAAAAGCTGGACAGTGAAGAAAGGTGACAGGAATTAAAATCATCTCATTGGAGATGTGGTGTTTTTGGAATGTTCAGCAGATACTGTGAACCACAAATACCAGTAAATGGGTCCTAGAAGAAATGAAGGTTGAACTCTCCTGAAAATCCAAGATGACTAAACTGAGAATGTCACACTTTGACCATATTATGAGAAGAGGTGACTCATTAGGAAATACAGTTATGCTTGATAAGATAGAAGGCAATAAGAAAAGAGAAAGGCTGCATTACAGATGGAAAGACTCAATCAAAGAAGCACAGCCCTGAATTTGCAAGACCTGAACAGGACTGTTGATGACGGGAAATTATTGAGGTTTCTCATTTGTAAGAGTCACAATTATCGTATATAAAATTGACTTGATGGCAAATGACAACCGCAACACTTTTTTTACTTCACAGTTGCAGTTGTAGTTGTATAAATGCAATGAATGGGGGCCAAAATGGCTGTCATTTTTTTTCTTGCTAGATTTCTACTTGTTTGGAGAAGTTGTGTGGGATTTTTTATTTTCCTTCCATCAGGTTTTTTTTAATGTAATAATGCAAGATAAATGTAAGCATCAATTTATAATTTTAGCTACAATAAATGTAATAAACTTCTACTTTCAACATGAATGTCCGCAAGTTAGATTTTTAATATTGTATTTTTAGTGTTAGCTTAACATATTTTTTTATTAACGTTCTTAACTCTGTATCAATAAGAATGGAATGACTTCCCAGATTTTTTGGAAAATGACTTTAGGAAACTGTATAACATATTACCTCCATAATATAGCATAGAAAACTGAAGGCATGCATCTCCTGGAAGTGAAGTTCTTTTTCAGCACACTGCAACATTTTCAGAACAATCAGAAGAGAGTAGAAGAGTCGCTCTCGCAAATCTTTCTCAGTTAGGGCTCTTTTATTCTTCTTTCTCTCTCACACACAGTATATACATATCATTACTCCTGAGTTTGTCCATCATCTTTGAGTTTCCCCTTCATCTTTTCATTACTTTTCTGTGTTTCTCCAACTATTTCCAAAAGTATAGTCAGTTTGAAGGTGAAAATATAGTAACGTTTACAGAAAAACTTAAAAAATAGGGGAGAGAGAGGAGGGAACACAACAGGAACAGGGACTATAAGAATAGTACCATAATGCAATAAAGAAATTTTATTTCTGCTGCCTAAAGTTGTATTTGTATCAGCATTCATTGGATACTGTTTAGAAATGCATGTAATTCTTTCTTTGCAAAACCATACACATACACACACATTTTTTAAAAAATCCTAAATTGCTGCTCATGTACTCCAGCTGTATCTTTTCATTAGAAAATGTCCCAGTTTTCTGGGACCTATTTCTGTTAAAACACTGTTCTTCTGTACTTTGTTACTTTTTTGCTTTTGGGATAATGTTATAGATGCCTTTAAAAAATCTTATTCTATTGTCAGGTTTCAGTCCTCTCTCAGAGGAGACCACAAGCCAAATAGTAAACCAGAAGGTGTCCTAACATAGTTAGGTGAATACTAAAGGTATATATATATATCTTCATTACACTGTTATATTAGGAGCCCTTTCACCCACAAAGTTATAGCACAGTGATTCACTTCCTGGCTGCAATCATATGGAACCCTGGGGTCTGTAGCTTGGTGAAATGCTAAAGCAATCTGCCTGAGATTCCTATACATCCCTCCCTAAACTGTAGATGCCAGGATTCCTAAGAATGTTGCTATGGGAATTCAACTGGAAAAATGTTCTAATTGTACCTAATTTGAAAGAGTCCCAGGATTTCTCCCAATGGGGCAAATGTGTTGGGAACTTGCAGCATTTGCTGCAGTACACAATGTTTATAAAATATCCATACGGTATTTCTTCTGTCCCAGAATATGTTTGGCAGTTATATGTACCTGATAGAATAGTTTGTTCACTCCCGCTGTGCTGGTACAGCTGTACCAGAAGCTCCCACTTTATTTGCCTTGTATTAAGTGTTTGCTTGCAGCCCAAGGCTTGGGATTCTGCAGAAGGGTGGCTTCCTGTTAAAGTTTGCAGTTACAGGGCAGGCCCCCTGTCCATCATTGTTAAGTTTGGTTCCGCCCCCTGTTCAGGACAATTGAGAAGGGAAGGGAGCAATTTTTAGTCAGTCTCAGCAAGGAAAGTCAATGTACACGACATGTACAGACTTCTCCTGTACAAAGGCTTCAACCCTTAAGACTTCCCGGGGGAGAACAGTCTTAAGAGCAAAAGGATTCCCAAAGATTCCCAGGGAAACAGCCCTAAAGCTCTGAGGAATTTTGGAGGGAAAAACAGCTTTGAATATCTAAGAACTCCAGCTGAAGTGACTACAGGCCTACTGGTAGGTCCACTCGGTGCTTTGAGACGCAGTTCAACCTGGTAGTGGAGCCCACATCAGTTAGGTTTAGGTTCACAGTTAGCCTGGGAGAAGTTTGGAAAGGGATTTTCCTTTAGAGTAAAGTAACAGTTAGAAGCCACTAGTTGCACAAAAGCCTGGAAGCATTTGTTTAACCTTTTGAAGACAAAATAAGTTTCTGTTGATTGTTCATCAATAAAAGACTTTGTTATATTTCACAAGCTCTCTAAAGACTGTTTATGGTGAAAATCCTTACGAATTTCTCTTCGGGCCCCCTGGCTTCCCGCTGGGCTAAAGTTGCACGTCCTGTTTTAAAAGCAATTCGTTTCAAGCCCAGCGCGTGACAGAACACCCGCCTCCAGGGATGTGTGCCTTTTTAATTCCAAGACATGTTGGTACAAACTCTGTTGCTGCGTTCTGTCCCACCCAGTTGCAGATCCCCTTCCCAGTCTTTGTGATCAATATGTCTATATCTTTCTTCTGGGTGACTTATGACATCTGAATATGGAGTTTCTATGCATCCCCATGTCCCCATCTTCAGTTTTAGCTGTACACATGAGTAAATGAACAGGCCTCATATAGAACAGGCTTCTGCATAGGAAATAAATAAAGAGTACAGTAGGTGGAGTCTTCCATCATGAAAATAATGGACAAGAAGAGACAGTCATTTGTGATATTGGAGTGTCATGAATATTATAGGAAAATATGGACCTAGCAGCTGAATTTGCACAAAATAATAAACCAGTAGGATGCACATTGTTGGTGCATGCTATTTGAGGAGCAACTGGTAATAAAATAATTTTGCTCTGAGTT